AGGCACCATTTGGCTCTCAGATTCCTTTTGCAGGTCCTATTCCTTGCCAAAAATCAATTCTTTGCAAAACCTGATCGAGGTTTTAAGAGCAATGTTGATAGATTGTAACAATGTTAGAAGGATTTGCTTTGAATTTTAATATTGGATTCAAGTTGAGTATTTTTCTATGATGACTTCTAAGTAAGACTTCTTCCATTTTCTACATGTCAAAAGACTTTGAAAAGTCTGTGATGGAAACTGCTCTTTCAATCTTGGGAGAAAGGTCAATGTTTATGAGTGTGTATGTATATTTATATATGTGCGTGTATATGTGTATATACATACACACATGAATTTTTGCTTTGATCAAAATTTTTCAATAAAACATTAGGATTTTTATAACAAATTATTGTGACTCCATCTGCCAACACTCAAACACACTCCTTCAATAGTGTGTCTTCAGTTGTGAGGTATTTTGTGTTGTGTTACTTGTATGAATAATCCACACACATCAACAACCTCTTACTCCAGGTTATTTTTCAACCAGAATTCCAGAGGAGGAGGAGAAATTTTCAGGAAAAGACTTAACTAGTGTTTTTAAAGATAATATGGGTAACTGGAGTGAATAGGAAGTGGAGAAGAGGGGCTAAAAAGCTAAGAAGTCAACAAACAAAATCTCTGGAAAAAAAAAGAAAACAGGAACTGGTGTTAGTATATAAGAGTTAAAGAAAATGATATTGAAGATACAAGGGGCAAAAAGTCTCCCATACAAAGTGAAGAAATCAAAATCTGTCCTCAACGCAGTTGGATCCACTGCAAGATCAATGAGGAAAGCTTCCCGTTTTATTCTAGAACTAGAGGAATTTAATTATTTTTAAAATCCAGATCATTCCAATTTAGTGAATAGAGCTGGAGAATTAGCTCAGTGGCAGAACACTTGCATTGCATGTTAAAGGTCCTGAGTTTGATTCCTCTGCACACACACACACACACACACACACACACACCAATTTAGCCAACACAGTGCAATGGATTGGATCTTCCAAGTTGTGTGGGAGCAAAAACTAGTGACAAAAGGATTCATGAAAATTTACAGGTGTCTAGTTCATGCCCTTAGATACCCCTAAAAGGAGGAAAACCAACTCATTTGGGGTCTGGTCTGAAGTCTCGGGCAGAACAATGACTCTTTCCTAGTTTCTGGCAGATATTGGCAATCTTCCTGGCTTGTAGATGTATCAGTTCGATCTCCACCTATTTTCAAATACTCCACGTGCTTCTATGTTTTAACTGTCTCTCTGATTTTTCTTTATAAAGACATCAGTTAATGGGATTCAGTACTCCCTTTAACTTCTGCATGGTGCCAACTCAAACTCCTAAACTTCATGACAGTTGCTCCAAGTGACTTAGTTTTAAATCACTTTCCAGTGTTCAGAGCTTAGGACGTGGACCTGTTTTTGGAAGTGGAATGGGGCATTTCTGACAGGTGGAGCACTTCTGGAGTTAGACTAGGCTTCTCAGATGTGATTCATCAGTGTAGTATTTGAGGAACTCTAGCATGGGGCCATAACAGTCTAGGTAGAAAGCCTGGTCTACTTTAGTAACTATTTAATTTAAAACCTCTGTATCTTGGCTTTTCCTCTGGAAACTGAAATTATACTGCATCACAATTCTAGGAGGTTTATTTTTTTAGATAATACAGATAAAAGGCCAATAGTGCCAGCTATGTCTTAAATAGGACTTCAAGTCTTTGTTTTGTTGTTTTCAGGCCACAGCTTGGCGGTGCTCAGGGGGCATTTCATTAAGTGGCAGGAAGTGGAGGCCACTCCTGATGTTGCTTAAGGGACTCAGCACACCCAGGATCCAACCTAAGCAATACCTGTGCTCAAACCCTTTGATTTATCTCTCTGTTTCTCAGGCTTTAGTCTTTTATTTGTAAAATATTCACTAGTAAACAAGTCTGTCTCCTTGGCTGCCTGCAGTCAAGTGTCTTTGAGCAAAATTAACTCTTAATCTCCAAAGGAAATAGCTCAGATAACATTAGTCATACATAGATTTACGTATTTGTGTTTGTGTTTTAAGTCTCTAAAGACTGTAAAGCTAGGTAAAGACTCCTGGGGAGAGGGCTTAAGTGCTGACCTCCAGGAAAAACATGCTGACATTTATGAAGCAAGCTAAATGCAATTTAAGCTGACAGGGTAAAAATGTTGAGACTTAATTTTTGTCATTAAAATACTAGCATGGCATTTGTTCCCATGCAGGCTGTACCTGGTCCTTGAATTAAAAATGGTTGCTTTAGGCACAGATTTAGAAGGATTGTGGGAGGAGGAGTGGTTGGTTTCAACAGGATTGTATAGAGATTTCTCCCCAAAAGCCGTTCTTTGCTATTTCCTCTCTGGAGAAGACTGTTCTCTCTTAAGATTTGTCTTTTTCTCCCTACACTTGTATCACTTGTTACTTGTAATCCTGTTGATTGTGGATTTGCTCGAGTGGGCACCAGTAACATCTACATTCATCCCTGACGCATGCTAGTGTAGCCCAATGGCATCTGCTCGCTACAGGAACACGAAGAATCTCAAACTGTTTGTCCAGGGTTTTGACGAAGAAGTCTGACTATCTCGTAGGTGGGCAACCACGTGTCCTTTTGATGTCCTGTGGAATCCAGTCAGTAACAGCTCTAGTCTGGCGGTCGTCTCTAAATCATATTACGTGTCTGGCCCATCTGATTTTTGATGCCTTGGCAAACAAGACAGGTCAGAACTCCAGATTCTTTCTCTCACTTCAGTGAATTATGATACTCCAAGCACAGCTCTTTTGATTTCTCTTTGGGAGACCTGAATAGCGTTCTCGTCCTATTTTCTTAGGGCCCAGGTCTCTGAGGCGTATGTTAGTGCAGAAAGAATGGTAGAGCCGAAAAGATGTGCCCGGAGCTGGAGGTTCTTTGTGATCTTCACAACTTCTTCAACACTCTTGAAGGTGCTTCATGCAGCTCTCTTCTTCTTGCTCAGTTCTGGCGCCAATTCGTTCCTCATGTTGAGTTCTCGACCCAGGTTACACATAACTGCTGTGTTCAGAGATGTTCGTTCCATTGAGAGCAAATGGAACATCAGGGACTAGTTCATTTTTCATGAACATTATCTTGGTGAGATTCAGCAGGAGTCAAAACTTTCCACACTCATGGTTGAAGTTGGCCAACATTTGTGCTGCTTGGCTTATGTTTCGTGTTATTAGAAGGATGTCATCAGCAAAGTGGAAGTGGTGTAGTTGCTGACCATCTATCTTCACTCCCATTCCTTCCCATTCCAGTCGTAGCATGACATTCTCAAGGGTGGCACTGAAGAGTTTCAGTGAAATGGTATCATCCTGCCAAACCCCTCTCTTTACGTCAATGATCACTTCCTTATAGAATGGTGAGAGCTCACCAGAGGATACTGACATACTGAGTTTGAATGCCCTTTTTGGCTAGGGCTTCGATGACCACTTCCGTCTCAACAGAATCAAAGGCCTTCATTATAATTCTGTGGGCGTTAGACAGAGCATCATCTTGAACTCTCATGAAACTTCAATGAGCTAGGTCACTTGGTCACTTCTGCCTTCACATGTCTCTAAATTAATTTCATTAGGAACTACATTGGGCTGGAGTGATAGCACAGCGGGTAGGGCATTTGCCTTGCATGTGGCCGACCCAGGTTCCATTCCTCCACCCCTCTCAGAGAGCCCAGAAAGCTACTGAGAGTATCCTGCCCACACGATAGAGTCTGTCAAGCTCCTTGTGGCTTATTGGATATACAAAAACAGTAACAAGTCTCACAATGGAGATGTTACTGGTGCCCACTCGAACAAATAGATGAACAATGGGAAAACAGTGCTACAGTGCTACAGGGACTACGTAGGTTCACTTTAAAGGGAAGAGAGGAGAGGGTACAAAACTATGAATAATAGTTCTTTGCCTCTGTCTTCAGTCCATGTAGAAAGTTAACTTTTCTCTAGCTGTTTCCAGCTGTATTGAAGTATTGACTCTCAGCAGGTGAAAGAACATTTTTGAAATGAACTGGCAATGACCATGCATTTTGCCTAGCATGATGCAAGGGAAAGTGGGTTTGTGAGTGTACACACCTCAGCTATTTAGAGGATGTTTATACTGCAGTGCCATGTAGGAGCTCAGAAGTCTTTCCCCTCAGTGAATAGCACAATAGATAACACATTCTTCTTTCCTTTCCCGATAGTGTAAGAATGAATGTGAAACTCGTTGTATTTTAAGTATAGGGCTTTTGTAAGATCATATGCAGAATAAATCTGTACAGAATCCTAACAGTTTGGGGAGCTGGAGAGATAGTACAGTGGGAACGTCACTTGCCTTGCATGTGGCTGAACCCAGGTTTGATCCCCTAGTTATGCCATCTGATCCCCAGAACATAGCCAGGAGTGATCCCTGCGTACGGAGTCAAGAGTAAACCCTGTGAGCACTGCAGAGTGTGGCTCCGAAAGAAACACAACAAGAGAATCCTATCAGTTTTAAGAGTGTCTGTGAATATAAATGTGGCACAATTCTTTATGCTTTCCACTTTCTTTATGATTAAAAATCTTCTTTTTTTATTTGAAAGTCTAATGCTCAACTTTGAATACCACCTGCAATCTTCCTGGTCTCAGCATATTTAATTTATTTCTAATTAGCTATGCAACCTTATTTTCCCGTGTATGACACTTTTGAATCCAAATCCTTCATTCTAGATTTTAATGCAAAATTAGCATTACAGATTCCTTGGCTGGAGAATCATTGTTACCGGATATCAGTTGCTGATTGGAAGCTCTGTTAGAGACTCTCTTTCTCTTCTGTAGTTTTGGAGACTACAAAGTAAATAGTCCTACCCACTTCCCTGCTCCTAGAGTTCAGTCTAATTGAGGAGAAAGAACAGAGTGTATCTGGAGAACTGCACCCTAATGGCTAGTTGGGAACTTATTATGCTCTAGAGTCTGGGTTTGCTCTATTATGATCTCATTACGTCTATGAATTCTGCCTACAGGTGTCTGTGGCAGGTTATGTGCATCTGAAACTTCCCCATCTGTGATCGCCTGGTGCCATTAAGTGTCTGTTTGTGCTTGAATTTGGTGCCTGCTTTCTTACCATGTCTAACGAAGTAGAAACAAGTACAACTAATGGTCAGCCTGACCAACAACAGGCTGCAACAAAAGCTCCATCGAAGAAGGAAAAGAAGAAAGGTATGGAACAACCCTCTTCGAGCTAATGTGTGGACTAGTGGAAGTGTCTGCAGGAGAAAGATGAGGTTCGGTTGTAGGAAGAGCTGACTACTGTCATGCTCTGACATCAGCTTAGCCTCAGCTTCTCCTAAACAGTAAAGATAGCTATCTGCTTGATTTTCAAAGTAATTTAATCACAATTTTTGACAGTTCAAAATGTTAAATGTTAAAAACTACATGGTGACTTCTTTTTTCCTTTTAAAAACATGTATTATTCTCTTTATATCCTTTTAGAAATAATGGGTGGAAAATGTCCCACCTCACCTATTTTTTCATTTCAATAATTCACTTTATCTTGCACCTAATGGTCAGAGTATTCCTAAACATGATTTTACTGAATGAAAGTGAGAAACAGCAATATTTTATCAATGACAGCACATTCAGTATTTGTACTACTTCAGTTTGGAGATTCTAGACCTTGACTGCTCACACGGAGATGAATATTTAATTACATTTATAAACTGGATCCTACATGTTTTTTTTTAGGCTCTGAAAAGACAGATGAATATCTTTTGGCCAGATTCAAAGGTGATGGTGTGAAATATAAGGCCAAGCTAATTGGCATTGATGATGTGCCAGATGCAAGAGGTGATAAAATGAGCCAGGATTCCATGATGAAGCTAAAGGTAAAAGGAGAAAGAATGTGTTATCTTTATTTTAAGCAAATGTTTGACAGGGGAATTCTCTTAGGCTTTTGTATTCACCTATGTTTATAATCTTGTGAAAGCCTTTTCTGATCCCATAATTCAAGAGTGCTACACTTAAGAGAAGCCATGGGTTTGAACGACTCAGTAATGGTCCAGACACTTGATGAAATAAGACAGAGCAGGAGTCTTGCCTCAAATTTCAAATCTTGGAAATACTCAAATAAAATCAAGAAGGGTTCTAGCTGGAAACTGATGTTCTGAAGTATTAGCTCCCTTTAAAAAAAAAGAATTTTAAAATTCTACATTTGTCACTGAAGCTAATCAAACAAATGACAAAGCCTATAAAGAACATCTCTCAAGATCTAGTGCATTTGCTTTGTGAATTATTATTATTGTCAGTGAATTATTATGAGGCAAAGGCAACCTACAGGTAATACCCTGACTCAGTCTCTTCTAGCCCATCCTTCTGTCTCATAGGAAAGATGCCTACTCCCAAAGATGTAAAACCAAGCTGAAAACAAAGCTGACTGTCTTTTAACATGATAGTCATTGATGTATTTGTTCTTTTGTTTCTATCCTTTTAACTGGGTTGTTCTTGTTTTCTGGTCCCCATCAGGGAATGGCGGCAGCTGGTCGATCTCAGGGACAACACAAACAAAGGATTTGGGTCAACATTTCTCTTTCAGGAATAAAAATAATTGATGAAAAAACTGGGGTAAGAGTTCACTTTCACTGACACCTTTCTGACCACCCGAGTCTCACCCAAACAGCTGCTACTGAAATTTCATTTTTCCCTTTTTTGTTTACAAAAGTCAGTAGGAAAAAACTAGATTTCTTTTTTGCTTCCCCCAAAGTAGAAGGCAGAGATCAGGGTAGAGGTGAGGAGATATGATATTTTATTTTATGACTGATTTCCTACAGTGGATGTGAACCTAGTATCTTTGAATAAGGTGTGATATAAATATCACTTGAGCATTTTACTTGGGCTCCCAGCCATGCAGAACTAGGATAATTATTATAATTCCTGCTTAGTGTTGCTATCATCTGTCCTTTACATTGGGTCTTATTTTACTGTGCTGATCACAGACAGATTTAGCAACTAACCTATGGGAATATTACCTGTGTCACATCTACCTTTCTTTTCCTCTCCTCACTCGCTACTCCCCAGTCACACCCCATGATTCCTCCGGATATAGACTACTAACTTACAGATGAAACTCACAGTAATCACATCTGTTGTCATCACTTGTGAATGCTCTTGCTTTAAAGCCAATCACACTTCAAGACTTGGGAAACTATTTTTCTTTACTCTACATTAGATCCAACCACTTTCAGTGTTTGTCATTCATTTTTATCATTGTATAGTTGCAACAAGGTTGTATGTGAACACCGTAGTACTATTCATCCTACAATACTATGTACTATAGAAGATAATCAGCTACTACTTGTCCTTTCCTAGAAATGGGATCCTTTTCACTTGGCCATACTGGTCTTAATGTAAAGATGCTTCTTTTCTCTCTCATCTTTCAATTCCTATTTTCCTGAGTTCATCCAAACATGGTAGCAGGTTTCCCATATAAGCATTTGTTCTCCTCAAAATCTCCCAAGATACATGAGATAGACTTTTTAGTTGTCCTGGGCACTTAGAAACAAAACCAAGACACATCCTACCCATTTATAGATATCTTTGAAAAACTAACACTGCCATCTACTCAATAGGATCAATCAATCCCATCAACAGCGATCACATCAAAATAAGTGGGTTCTTATTTTTGGGTTAGCAGCCTCTCCCCTGAGGAAGTTGGGAGAGGAATAGGTATGCGGAAGAAAAAGAAAGGTAGAGATGTGACACAGGTAATATCACCATAGGATAGCTGCTGAATTTGTATATCATTCGCACAGTAAAATGAGATCCAATGTAAAGAACAGATGAAAGTAATACAAGTGTAGGTAAAGGAACCAAGGATGTGGCTGAAGTGTTAATAACACATACCTTGAATATGCAAGACCCTGAGTTCAGTCTCGGGCATGACATACCCTACTCTGTACCTTTCTAAGAGTAATTTTCCCATCAAGTATTTCCAGTTGTGATATATTTTAAAAAGAGAGAGGTGTATAAAAGATAAAGGCAAAGCCACAACTAAGCCAATAATCAACCTACCAAGTCTAATTTCTGGATAATGACATCGGGCCATTTCTATAAGTTTGAGGAATTCTTGATGATAGCATTTGGTAATTTCCAAAACCTTCTGGAGAATAGTTGTTCCCAGTAATATTTAGGAGGGCTGTCTGACTATCATAGCCATTGTCCCTTTATCCTCCTAGCTTAATTATGATGTTCACTCGACTTTATCTTTGAGTTAGAAAAGTTACTTACGAGGGTGAATTTGAGGATTATATGTTCTAGCTTCACTTTAGACATTCTTGGCCTCCTAGTAATAGTCCTTTGTTGCTATGTGGTTGTTCACAGTAGTTTATTACATTCAATATTCCTACACCAACCCCACCACCATTACACCTTCGCACCATCATTATTCAGATTTTCCCACCACTGCCCAAGTCTGGCCCAAACGCAGATACTAAATCATTTATTTTGTATTGCTTATTATGAATCATCCATCAAGTATCAATATTTTTTAAAGTTACATTCTTTTTTTTTGTAGGGGTGACTTAGCTGTGCAAAGGGCTTACTCCTAGCTTAACAGTCAGGAATAATTCATTGCTAGAGATCTCGGGGGTCCATATGGGGTGCCAGGGATTGAATCTGAGTCAACTGTGCAAGTAAAGTGCCCTCCTTGCTGTACTATCGCTCTGACCCTAAAATTACATTCTTCTTACTTTTCTTTCCTATTATTTTTTTTTCCTTTTAAAGTCCCATCTAAGGTGACTAGAGCTGTAGTTTTCAACCAGAGGCCAACAATTCTGTCTTCAACTGTTTTGATCTTAGCCTAAGTGCCTGAGAATCTCATGCTTGCTTGCACTAACCTGCAAGTAAGTTCTAGTTTTTTCAATCAGTTTTCATGCTCTTTTTTAGGTAATCGAGCATGAACATCCTGTAAATAAGATTTCTTTCATTGCCCGTGATGTGACAGACAACCGAGCTTTTGGTTATGTCTGTGGAGGAGAAGGCCAGCATCAGTTTTTTGCCATTAAAACAGGACAACAGGTAAGCTCTAAATCTGGATGCTTACATAAAGTGAGCCTTGTCCTTAGGAAAGTAGAGAAGGTAAAATACATAGCTGCAGACCCTAGTATAGCCAATTGCATGGGAGAAAAGTAAACAGCAATTCAAATGATTACTACCTTCTTTGGTCTACATAATTTTTTACAAATGTCATTAATATCTTTGTAGCATGTAACTCAAGAATGGTTAGAATGGATTTTCTCATGGTCAAAATTGAGTTTATAACAGGAATGAATTATTCCCAGAAAGTGAAGAGACTTAGAAAATGATCATTGTTGCTTCTTATTTTGTCTAAATATTTAGCAACGTTTCTGTCCGGTATGTACCTGGGAATGAGGACAGAAGTTGTGGCAATCCCCCACATACCAAAGGCATTATTTTGGGGAGAGGAGGCACAGCCAGTGGTGCTCACAGCTTACTCCTGACTCTACACTTAGAGATCAATCCTGGCGGTACTCTGGGGACAATAGGCAGTGCCAGGAATTGAAACCAGTTAGGCAGTGCCAGGCAAGCACCTGACCCACTGACTATCTCTCTGACCCAGAGAAGAACTTTTTTTGTATCGATTGTTCTGGAGCCACAACTGGCAATGCTTAGGAGCTACTCTGGCCATATTCTGGAAACTGTGTTGGTGTCATGGATCAAATGAGGGACTCCTCATGCAAAACATGTACTCTTGTCCATTGGTCTATCACTCCTGACAAACCAGAAGATTTATAAGAGAAAGGAAGGAACTTCTGGCAGGGGTTGGGGAGTAGGGGGAGAGAAAATAAAGAAAGTAAGAAAAAAATACTGATAAAGATGCTTTCTCTTTCTTTAGGCTGAACCATTAGTTGTTGATCTTAAAGATCTTTTTCAAGTTATCTATAATGTAAAGAAAAAGGAGGAAGAAAAGAAGAAGGTAAGTTAAGTATTACCCAGTGGAGGCCAATTGAAATTTGAGGTAATATTGAGGACCATGGTTAAACGTTATGTAACTTTACAGGCTATTTGAAGAGTTGACTTCGATGAGGCACTCTAAATGTATTATCTATTCATCCCAGTGGGGCAATAGATGGATGGTATAGCGAGCACTTCTGATTTTCAGTCCCTCACTCTTGTCTTCTCTCCTAATAATCTTTACATTGATTCTAAGAAATTGGATTTAGAAGACTAAGAAAGACCAGTAAATATTCAGACCCAACAGTGACAAAATAAGGGGAGAGTAATGTGGGGAAGAAATGATAAAAGATTCTCTTAAGTTATGCCTGTGAGCCCAAGGATATATTTGTTCTTTGGCTTAACTCTTTCTCTCCAGTGACTTAACATTGAATTTGTGTCTTTCTTTTTAGATGGATGAGGCTAACAAAGCAGTAGAGGTAAACATTCATCTTTATTTCTTGGGAATTGCTCATGTAATGATGTATAAACCATTCTCTTATCTACTCAAGTTTAGTAATATTTCTCCTAGATTATTACTATGTATCTGTGATACTTCTGATCATGAAATATGGACTGTTAAACTTTCAAAACTTAAATTATAACTGCTAATGAGGCTCATAAGTAGGAGACTGAATTCTTTAGGGGAAACACCAATTAAACCCTTAAATACTTACCATCTTTTCAGAATGGGAGCGAGCCCCTACTGACTTTTGATGAACAAGCTAACAAACTGAGACTGGTATGTATATTAGTAATGTTTTATGATTCTTGCATACCTGAATGTGGGTTTTACTTCCTATAGATACTGCTAATGCCAAATCTATATTCAATCGATATTAAAAGTCAATTGGGACAACTAATTTTCTAAACATTAGTGTCAATATATAATATATATAATCTTTGTAGTAGACACATCTAAATCTAATACTAGTACCTTTTTATGGGTGTGGATCAGATGCATTTATTTGGGGACATGACTACACTTCCTGACCTAAATAGCCTATTATTATATTAAAACTGCTTTAATTAAATTAAGGTCCAGCTGTGACAATTATTTTTATGAACCTTAGAAAACCCAACAATATACAAAATAATCTTTTTTAGTAGACATATGAATCTAATTCAAATACTTTTTTAAGGGTGTTGACCAGATGGATTTGTTTGGGGACATGTCTACACCTCCTGACCTAAATAGTCCAACAGTAAGTCTCTGTTTTTAAGTTTGCAATGTAATGAAAATGACATAAGTCAAATTGGCAGTTAATCAGAACTCTTCATCTGTTCATTGAAACTTGCAAAGTGACGGCTGACTTTTTTTTCTGCATAAAGTGTTAAAGACTAGGAGAACAAGTCTGCATATTAAGTCACCATGGGAACACATCAAGCATTAACTAGGCATACTATTATTGCTTAGTGGTTAAATCTGAGCAACAGGTCAGGCAATGTAGTATGTTTTGGTATTGCTTAGGAAGAGAAGGAAGAGCTTAAAGAAAATCTTTGGCATCAGCTTATTTGAAGGAAGTATGTGTGTTGATAACAATTCATGGTAAAACCTTCCAGCCTTTTCTTTCTTTTTTTTTCTTCTTATTCTTTCTTTTGTGATTTAGGAGTATAAGATTGGTGTGAAGTAGGATATAAACAAGGGAATCAATTTATGTTCAACAAAAACCTGCCTTTTTAAAAATTGCATATACTTCATCGGATCTTATAGCTTAATAATTTTTTAATATTGATTGACCTGTCAATTCTGTGAAAATGAAACAATATTTTACTTTAAAATTAGTAACTGATGGTTAGAATAAAATTTTATTTCCTAAGAAGAGGTCCAGAATCCAGGCTTAAGTCTAAACATTCAAACCTTTTATAACAAGCCTCAAGGTGAAATTATTTTATATTGAATGATATAAATTTTTTTGCTTTTTTTGGGTCACACCCGGTGATGCTCAGGGGTTACTCCTGACTTTGCACTCAGGAATCAGTCCTGATGGTGCTTGGGGGACCATATGGGATGCTGGGAATCAAACCCGGGTCAGCCGTGTGCAAGGCAAATGCCCTACTTGTTGTGCTATAATTTATATATTTATAATTATATTATTTATATAATATATAAAATTTATATATTTATAAATTGAATTATTTCAATTTCCATTATAAACCTAACAATGTCTTAAGTAGTTTCTCTTTGCAGGAAACAGAAATGAGTGAGAGGCACAATGTCAGTGACATGATGATAACATTCAAACTACTCACAAAGCTTATTTAAGTTGATGCTGGGGCTATTTATCAAGCCCTGATGTTCAGATAACGCCTGTGATTAGTTTCTGGACTTGAACATAAATAATAATAAGGCAATACCTAGACCAGAGAGACATCAGTTTAGCACAGTGAGGCAAATGTCTATCTGGAGTGAGTGTCTATGCCAGGAAGTTCACCAACAAGTTTCCATCCAGATGACAGGAGTGGATACAGGGATGGAGTCAGAGCACAAAGTACAAGTGTCATATGTACTATAAGGTGTCATGGGTGGGCATAGGTCAAGTTTAAATAGAGGGATTAGTAGGAAGATATTTTTTGTGAAGAATCTCAATTTCAGTTGGTACTTTAAAGTATGTAGAAAAATGCGAAGACTAGAAATGTACTAGAAATACTTGGTTCTGATTGTGTATCATTTTGAAAATCCAGATTTTGGAGTTTATTTTCATTAAAGGGGTAGGAGGATGAAATGACCAAAAGGCATTGGGAACAGAAGTCTAGGATTTAGCAGACTGGGATGGTTCAATGAAGCTAGTCACCATAAGTTGAGCAAGCTAGTCAGTGGAATCAATATAGTCTCATCTCAGTGCAGATGAATCTTGTGCCTACTTGCCTCTCTTTCTGGAACTCTTTAAGAGCAGGGTCTATATTCTGTTCCTGTTGCCAGTGTTTTTCTCTCAGGTGGTCACACATAGAAGCTGTGTTGACAACCCAACGGAGAATTAATGAACTTCTTACCAAGGAGATGGATAAAGAATCTTAGAGCCATAGTTTATGAACTGAACATTGAATCTTGGAATGACAACAAACTCAACCTGAGGCGAGCTATGCATTTTACTTATAGGGTGACTATTCAGAAGTCTAACATTGTGGCTCCTGTTTGGTGTCCTAAGGACTTCTTCTGAAGTATCTCAAAGGAGAACTCTACGAGCTGTGAACACCCAACTTGTTCTAATCCAGAGGTGGCTCATAATAAATGAATAAATATTAAAATCACAAACTTTTGTAATACATTTGTCCTTCCTTATGATTGCTAAAGATCCCTACATCTAGAGATCCTCCAATCTATTTCTTTGATTAAAAGAAATCGTTTTTTAAAATAAAAAATAATTATTATCAGTTCTTCTGAAAAATTCTTCTGATTAATGAGAAGAAATATGGCTTCTAAAAACTGTGTTACTAAAATTCCATATTGGTAAGGATTTCAAAAGACAATGCCTTTTGAGTCCAATTTAGGACGTTCACTGTAAAAAATTTCTTTCTTTTTTATTAAAGCAAAGAAGGACTATATATGCCCCTATTTTTTTTAGCTGCTAGTTTGAGAATTTTATATTTCCTTGATTGCTTTTGTCTCAGTTATCAAAATTGTGTGTTCAGTGTAATAGACGGTCTCTAACTCCCATTTTAACTAGGAATTTTTTAAATTATTTTCTTATAGGCCATCTTAGCTAAATATTTAATCAGTTTATCAGAAGGACTGAAGATATGACAGCTCTATCCTCAGTGAATCCTAATTAGTTATTCCACTGACTTAAAGAAAGACCTGTCAGATTTATTAAATTTGCTGCTTTTATGTTGAGAAGAATGTTTTTCTAACTACTCAAGACTTGATTAAAAGACCAGAAAAAAATTGATAGGAAGTAGAATTTTGAGTTTCACATTTATTGTCTTTCAAATGAAATCTTAAATCCATATCTCCACCGAATTCAGAACAAGATTATGTATAAAATAAAGATTAGTTGACTATATCCTTTAAGGACATGAGGTTACTATCACAGCACAGACAATTCTAATCTAGGTTTGGGAACAGCTCACATGGGAGATTAATATTATGATGAATTGTGTTAGATTATATCAATATTTTGGGTATCACTTTCTTTGAAGAACAAAGAAAAGGCATGTCCAGAGGAAAGACTTGAACAGTGAAGATAAGTGAATATAATCTCTCTCTTGGCTATCACTTTAAAGACCCTTAAGGTTAAAGATGCTGCTTGAAAGCTGTAACATAAGGGGGAAAATTTTTCCTCCCACTAAAAGAAAGACCAAATATCAGAATATATACTTGCCCTTACACAGCTTTACAACCAGAACTATAAAATGTGAATATTATTCACTCATTTAAAGAGCTGATGTTACTGAGTCTGAGGCACAATAGAAAGGGATGAACATCAGACTGAAGGCTGAACTAGGACTCTGAGGTCATCCTTCCTTTGAGCTAGATAACTTTAGATAATCACTCATAGAAGCGATGATGAGCATGAACAACCAGTCTGTAAGGCAGAGGCATTACTAAGTCAACAAAGTAACATCTCACTTAATGAAGGACCAATCAAGACTGCAGTGAAGGGGTGCAGTCCAGAAAGAGGGAGCAGTTGAACAGCTAATGAAAACTTAGGGGAGGTATAATGAAGCAAGGACTGATCAACCAGTCTGTCAAGATCAAAATCAAATGGGAATTTGGATAATCCTGATCGTTTTATGTAACTTTTCCTATTTAAACTCACAACATGGACTAACGCTTCTTTTTTTTTCTTTCCAAAATGTGATAGGAAAGCAAAGATATCCTGTTAGTGGATCTAAACTCTGAAATCGACACCAATCAGAATTCTTTAAGAGAAAATTCATTCTTAACAAATGGCATCGCCACCTCCTGCTCTCTCCCTCGACCAAAGCCTCAGGCATCTTTCTTGCCTGAGAATGCCTTTTCTGCCAATCTCAATTTCTTTCCCACCCCTAATCCTGATCCTTTCCGTGATGATCCTTTTGCACAACCAGACCAATCGGCACCCTCTTCGTTTGATTCTCTCAACTCTCCAGATCAGAAGAAAGAGAACTTGTCTTCTCCACAGAGTAATGGGCCCCTGAATGGGGATGTTGATTACTTTGGTCAGCAGTTTGACCAAATATCTAACCGGACTGGCAAACAGGAAGCTCAGGCAGGCCCGTGGCCGGCAGTGAGAACTCAAAATGGGGTAACTGAAAGAGAACAGAACGGCTTCCATATCAAATCCTCCCCGAACCCTTTTGTGGGAAGCCCTCCCCAAGGACGGTCTGTACTGAATGGCGTCAAGCAGGACTTGGAAGGCTCTGTCCAGTCCTCGACACATGACTCCATTGCCATTATCCCTCCTCCACAAAGTACCAAACCAGGAAGAGGCAGAAGGACTGCTAAGGTGAATTGTCTTCTCCACCTAGCCATTGGCAGAGTGCATGTGCGGTACCAAAGGGTGGTGTGATGCAAGCTCTCTTTCCTGCTGCTATAGTAGCTTCCCGTGTGGCTGTAAAATAGAAGGTGGGATAAGGCGCATCGTTCTCCAAGAATACCTTCCTCTAATTTGTCGCCCTTCTAAGCTTCTCACTCAGCAGTATTTGTCACATCCTGCTTTCCGTTTGCATGCCTTGTCACTTATTATTAACTAAACACAAGTTTTTCCATTTTTAATGCTGCTATGCTTCTATACCTCGGTAAGTTTGATCATCTTGTTCTGGGAGGGGAGGGCAAGGGCTCTTATAGATCCCTTTTGTCCCTTCCCCAAACTAACACACACCTCCACACTGCTCTCACTGTTTTTCATGTCTCAGGTGGTGGTCCTGAGTTTGCCTCCTCTTTAAAATATCAATAAATGATTCTTTGTCCTGGGAGAACTAGTATGTTACTCTTAACCATTCCACTCAAAAGCAATTGAAAATGCAGTTCCTATAAGCACCTCTTTAAATAGAACATGCAGGTTGAGCTCGTTGATCTAATGATTAGGCTGCTGTGTCATCTTTATGCAGGCTGGTTTCAAAACCAGTACAGTGGCAAAAATATTAATGCCACTGATTTTCAATCATCTGTCTATCTCAGCTTCAAGCTCTTAGCTACAAATGTGTAAATTGGCAAAGCATATTTCACTATGGGTGTCTTTGATCTGTCAGCAAGACCCAATATTCTATTCATTACAAAGATGTGTCTTTTTTTTTTTTTTTGATGGGAGTCTATCAGTACCAGAAAGAAGTTTTTCCCTTTTGCTCCTGAAATTTAAGACACAAAGGGTTAGGAAATGGAATTAAGATGCATTTTACTGCTATTAAGTAACTCTTTTATCTCCTTCTCCACCCTATCAGTCTCCAGCAAATGACTTGCTTGCATCAGACATCTTTGCTCCTCCCGTCTCAGAACCTCCAGGTCAGATATCACCTACAGGACAAGCTGCAACCTTACAGACCAACCCTCTGGATCTCTTCAAAACAAACGCTGCTGTCCCCGTGGGGCCTCTCGCAGGTCTAGGTAGGTACCTCAAGATAGCAGTCAGCTTTGCTTTGTTATTTTCGTTAGATGCCACTGCAAAGAAGGAAGGCTCATAGTCATGGAGTTTCAAGGGCATATTCTTTGATGTGTACATCCTGAGCAGCCCTTCTCCCACTTTTTTCTTCTGTTAACTCCACCCTCATTGGATATCCTGACTTGCCCTTGACATTTGGTTCCACAAGTTGATTTGTGAATAAATCTATTTTGAGAATCGCACTTACCTGTATCAAGTGCTAATGACTTCTTGAAGACAGTAATAGGTGACTCCTGAGCCTAGATTAACATGGAGGGTGGACAAAACATTGAGCTGAGAGACCCTTGTCTAATGTTTCTATTGGGAAAAGTTACAGCCTGTATATTTTTGGTTATCATTTGATATATCTCCATCAAAGCACTATTCCCTATTCAACTAATTTCTCTCTTGGGAACGATGTGTCCCCAAATGGAGATAAGTCTCAGGAAAGTAAAAATCATAGAAAATAATTCTGTTCTGCTCCCAAGCAAGTGAAAGATTTTCTTGGGATGGTTATCTATTCTGAGCAGTCTGAAATATTTAAGCGGTGATAGCATCTTGCCAATCTTTTAGCTATCCAAGTGTCTTGCTACAGTGTTAGAAGATGTGTACTAGAAGCCTGAAGTTTAAAAGAGCACAGAGATATAGGAAAACGTGGACTTTTTTCCCATTTTTAGGATGCACTTTCACTGTCATCTATTAATATGTCAATGGCTTATGTGAAGCACCGAGTCGTGTTGTAGCAGGACAACAGAGGCCACTGCTCTAAGGTCTGGCCTGGCCCTAATCCTCTTTGCCCACAGTCTCAGGTGTCTCCTGCCTCCATGGTATAGTTTTGTTTTGTGTTTTGTGTTTTGCTTATTTTATTGAATCACCAAGAGATACACAGTCACAAAGTTTTTCATGGTTGGGTTTCAGTTACACAATGTCCCAACACCACATGGGATAGTTTTCAGGAACCCTAAGAATCTTTGCTGTCCTGATGGGATTTTTTTTTAAATTTTTAATAGTGAGATATCATGAGGTACAGTTACAGACTTACACATTTTTGTGCTTGGGTTTCAATTATTTGCCTTTTTGCCTCTTGGTACCTCTGCAAGCTCCAGATAGATTCCAGCTTGAGAGGATTAGGCGGGTATAGTTAAAGGAGGTCTTCCTTATATAAAATCTGATCGGGGAACTGTCTCTGCCTTGTTCCATCCTCAGAACACTCTTTGCCATTTTCCAGCAAAAAAAAAAAAAAATACTTGGGTCTTGTCATATTAAATCTGTTTAATTTTTTCTGGAAGTTAGTGGCAAGTGTGGCATTGTTTCCTAATTACTAAATAGCTGAAATCCATATGTGGGCATGAGAACCCAACCTGTCCAGGTCTCTACTTGCTTTTACACCACCAAGGTTTCTTCTGGGGGTACGTCTCTCTCCTGCAGCCACGGTGGAGGTGCTCGGTGCTCTGCCTTGCAGGAGCGTAGAGTTCGCAGGTGCTGCTAGTGACTAGACCACATCACGGAGCTTTGTAGTCTAATATCAATGCCCTGAAGAATTTTTACAGCCAATATTTAACAAGTCGGCCTGAAAATACAGCTGGACCCTATAACTGTTAATTTATTCAGACGAAGTGAAGCTTTTTGGCTAGGTGCCCCTGTGGAGGCCTTGGGGTAGACAACTGCAGAATACTGATGATTCTTCCAAGTTTGGACATGGGACGCGAACTGAGCTCTACAGTGTAGCCCCTGTCCACTTGCAGGAATCCTCAGCCAAGCTATGGAAGGTTGTAGGTCTGGCTTCCGCTAGACCCAGCTGGGGGACTGTCTCCTCTGGAGAACTGGGGGTGGGGAGAGGATATTGTAGAAAGGGGTGCCTTCAGCTTTAACCAGCTACCCTGTGTTTTATTCTAGCATCAGAAGGTAATAAAATTTACTTTATAGAACAGACCCACACCTTTTTTCTTAACTTTTGCCCCTATTTTCTTCAGTAAGGCCTTAAAATACAATATCTTAGAAACATAATGCATATATGGAATCTGGTAGATGGGAATGAAAGAAGTCATAAATGTATACTAGGAAAGCCTTTAATTCCTGGTAATTCTCTTTTACCAACACTCCCACTAATGCCATCTATGACTAAAGCCACACATTTTCTTAATGGGAAGTAATCTAACACATAAGATAATAAAACTCCTCCCTACATTTTTGCACCTCCAAAGGCTAGAAATTAAATGAGTGATTCTGGTTTTGGTTAATAGACTTGTAGTAAATTTCTTTTAAAATATTAGCTGTGACTTGCTTCAGACTATATACACTTTGAGAAGTCTGTTTAATCAGACCTAAGAGAACATTTCCCTAGATTAGTTATCATGAAGGAAGAATGTATATTTTTTAAGGTAAGTGAAATTTAAATTTTTCTATACCTCTGAAATAGGCATTTGAATTAACATTCAAGTTTTAAAATATTGCCCCTTTTCTGGGTGCGATAGAATCAGAAGCATTGGGGTCTTCAATGCAAAACTATTGTTAGTCTCTACTATTGAGCCTAAGGACAATCCTACATAGTTACAAATCTTGCATTCAGTTCCCTTACCTCAGACATTTTGAATTTAGTGAAACCATTTCTGAGAGCCACCAGATGAAGGTTAGCACTAATGTCAGTGGAACTGAACAAGGTCATACCAATCTCCAATGCTACACAATTTTAGTACTGACTGCAAAATATCAGCCTCTGAATGCCATTTTCAAAATATGAATCACTCTGGAAATGAAAATATTGCTAACTCAAACCTGAAGGCCTTTTCTTTGTTGGCTCAGAAATCTCCCTGAATACAGAAGGCTCTCTTCCAAAGCTCAAAGCCAGTTGAGTTTGAGTGAAGTTATTTCTTTGTGAGGTGGTCTGAGCCTGAGCTTGGGTTTTCTGTTAGAAGTGATAGTTTTACTGAGTCACTAATTCACTGGGGAAGAGGCAGGAGAGAAAATGCTCTTGTGATTAAAACAAGATGCAGGCAGTGAACCTCTCAGGAAAGTGGGAAGTACAAATATCGGAGAGATGTAGATTTTAACGACTTTACTAATTCCTGATCCTCATGGTGAGGATGTGGAGGATGAGGGGATCCTCTCTGCCCCAAAAAACTCAGTGCCTGGACACAGACAGGCAAACAGTTACCTTGGAAGGTTTATGTTTGTTTCTTTTCATGGTCTTCTTTCTGTTCCTCTTCTGAATACCCTGGCAAGGTTTATTGAGTGACACATGGCAGGAAGCACTTTTATTTGAAACAGCTCTCCCAAGATATCCAGACTCAACTCCGTTTTTATATATAAAAGTCTTAAACTATTTTGGCATCAACTAAACTTTATCATCTTTTTATATAACTGTGTCAACCTTGGCAGCAGTAAAAAGCAAGGAAACTTTGAAATGATTTCTTTGGGATACAAGCATGTTGAGGCCTAATGCACACGCGTGATAGCTGGTTTCCATAAGACTCCAGACAGGAGCCAGCTGCCAAATGTAAAACCCGAACCAATGACTCATTGTACCCAGAGGATTATCGTAATTAACTACTTTATAATGAGCCTGGTTTGTATATGTAAATGTGTCACTCAACAAATAAATTTGTGTTATTGACAAACCCCACTCAAGTGGTTTGAAATTCATCAGTATATGTATGATAAGAACGTCTTCCTTTTTTTTTGTGACTTAAGGATTGCATTATTTAGGTTTTGTTTGTTTTTTTGTTTTAAAGAGAATAGTGGAGGGGCATGGGCTTAAAAATGCAACCAGGATAGCATATATAGCAATGCTATATATATATATATATATATATATAGTATATATATATAGTATATCTAGTACTATATATAGTACTATATATGGTAGCTATACTGTATTAGTCAACTTTTAAAGACATTTAAATATCTTAGAGCCTTTATTTCCACATCATCCTCCAGGGTTTGTAAAATGTGTTCCGTGTAGTTACTTTTATGCACACCATTTTTACTTTCTGAAACTCAAACTTGTCTTTTGAAGCATGTGCCCTGACAAGTCCTTGCTCCCTCTTCTTTTAGGCAGTGTACCAGTTGCACCCCCTCAGGCAGGACCGTGGAACCCAACATCTTTAGTCTTTAATCAGCCCACTCCAGTGGTCCCAGGAGCCATGATGGGTGGTCAGCCTTCAGGATTCAGTCAAGCAATCGTTTTCACCGCAACTCCAGCGGTTCCAGGTTGGAACCCGCAACCTTCTTTGGCAGCCTCAATTTCCCCTCCAGCGCCTGCTGGTTGGGGCCCATCAACTCCAGTGGCAACCAATACTTGGTCATCAACAAGTCCTTTGGGGAATCCTTTCCAGAGCAATATTTTCCCACCTTCTGCTGGGTCTGCCCCATCCCCTTCTATGCTCTCCTCTATCCTGGTCTCTCCTCCTCAACCTCCTCCCAGAACTGGCCCTGCAAAGGACATCTCCGGCGATGCCTTCACTGCCTTGGATCCACTTGCCGATAAAGAAGTCAAGGAAGTAAAAGAAATGTTTAAGGACTTCCAACTGCGGCAGCCACCTGTGGTGCCTGCCAGGAAGGGAGAGCAGTCTTCCTCTGGGACTTCGAGTGCCTTCTCGAATTATTTTAACAGCAAAGTTGGCATTCTTCAGGAGAATGCAGACCATGATGACTTTGATGCTAATCAACTGTTGAAAAAGATCAGTGGTAAGTTACCTAATTCCCTGTCTACTGTGCTAACATCTATTTCCTCGATCATATAAGCCCACAGAGTTCCTGAAATAAACTCCCACCCACCAATAAACTTGCTCTTAATGTTTTTGGTAATCAATAGTTATGATTTATCAGCACATTTATCCTAAGTGTCATTTGCTTATTTGTTTCTAAGGACTGGCTCAATGCTGCCCTCTTGTGACAGTTCATAAAAGGGCCTCTTAAGAACAGTTGTGTAGAAAAACTTCTACAATGTTCCATGACCTTCAAATCGAAATTTCTGTGTGGGGTAAAGGGGTCCAGCCTACCTTTTTGAGAAGGGATGGATTTACCTGTTTCAAACCCCAGGATGACTAGCATCTGTTTTATTAGTTTTGTTCCATTGATACAAATTTTCAAAGAATGGAACAAAATTTCAAAGCTGAATCTTCCGAGGGGAATTGTGACTTTTTGAACAAAGACTTATCTGCTGACTTCTCGGATCTCTCACCTTTTAGAACCACCAAAGCCAACTACCAGACAAGGCATCCCGCCAGTTACCAAATCTGCTGACAGTGCATTTGAGAACCCTTTCTCTAAAGATTCCTTCAGTTCATCACAATCCTCTGTAAGTATCAGCTACTAGAAGCTGCTGCTCCAAGTCCGTGCCACAAAAAGTTTCCCACTTCTAAATTAATCTTTCTTTCATAATAACTTTTTGATGGTAAAAGATGTTTGAATAAAGACTGTTAAGAATTATCACAGTCTAATGACTCAGAAAGAAAGGGATAGACATAGAAAGATTGCATTCATCTGGGGAACATAAAGTAACAAAATAGGAAACCAACACCCAAGAATGGCCGAGATTAGTACCAGGAATTCTACTCCATGACTTGGAGGCCAACCACACATACTAGGGAAAAGGGAGCTCAGATAAAGAGGGGAACACCAAATAAAGGTGTTGGGAGGACCCTCCCAGAATGGGAGAAGCATGCTGAAAGTAGACTATAGACCAAACATGATTGTCACTCAATGTTTCTTTTGCAAACCACAACACCCAAAAGGAGAGAGAGAACAGAGGGGAATGCCCTGCCACAGTGCCAGGGTGGGATGGGGGGGATGGGGGGTGGGAGGGACACTGGGATGCATGGTGGTGGGAAGTGGGCACTGGTGGAGGGATGGTATTTGATCGTTGTATAATTGAAACCCAAGCACAAAAATGTGTAAGTCTGCAACTGTACATCATGATGTCTCACTATTAAAAAATTTTTTTAATAAAAAAATAAATAAATTTTAAAAAAAAGAATTATCACAGTCTAGGGGCTGGAGCAATAGCACAGCGGGTAGGGCATTTGCCTTGCACACAGCCTACCCAGATTTGATTCCCAGCATCCCATATGGTGCCCCAAGCACCGTTAAGAGTAATTCCTGAGTGCAGAGCCAGGAGCAACCCCCTATGCACTGCCGGGTGTGAGTCAAAAAGAAAAAACAAAGCCAAAGAATTATCCCACTCAAACTGGGAAAGGATTATTTTTTATTTTTGCAAGAACTACTTATTGTTCTGAATTTGAAAAGTGATTATATAAAACGGATTTTATTTCTCACTTCATCTAACTTGCAAGAGCATTTGGGGTAGAAAAATTGAGCTGAAATACTTTCTTAAAACATCTTGAGAAGACATAAGTTCCTTTCCCATAGTTCCTTTGCCCATAAAAAAAATTACATTTTCTGAGGCTGGAGAGCTAGTCCTCCAGGTAGGGCATGTACCTTGCATGCAGCCAAACCAGTTTCAATCCCCAGCTCTCATATGGTCTCCAACCCCAGCCAGGAGTGAGTTTGGGTACACAACCAAGAGTAAGCCATAAACACAGCCAGGCCCAAAAACTCAAAAATAAGTAAATAAAAAATAATTAACATTATATTTTCCATCTGGTTGGAAGCAAGTTCACAGACCTTGGTTTTAATGTAAATGATAAAATATATGCCACTAATATGTATCATAAGTGTTCATGGCCAAGTACTAGCAGGAGAGTACAAGTTACTCATTCTAACTCTCATTAACTGTAAACTGGGGACATTCCTCCTGTTTCCCTCCCTCCTTTTGTGGTGTGTGCAGTGACAGTGGGTTGCTTTCCCTTGGTTGTGCTCACACTCTTGACTGGAGTGCTCCTAAGAGTCACACTCCCTCAGTTCTGAGCTGATATGTGTGTCAGCTGGTTATGGTGCTTACTGAGTGCCAATGTGGTGCTTACATATGTGCTTGCTAGGAGTTACATTTCCAAATGGTGCTTCTACATCTTTTCAGTTGCAGTGATTCCCAGGGGCTACAGCCTATAGTTGCTCTGCTCAAACCCTTCTGGCTGCTTTGTAGTTAGAAATCACATGTGGTGCCAAGGATCACAGAAGAGCTGCCAGACTTTTGCTTGGGGCATGTGGAAGCACCAGGCCTTACTCTGACTCAGTTGCCTGACTCAGTTGGAAGACAGGTGCTTACCACTAAGCTCTCTTCTAGCCCCTTAATTATTAATGGGATCTAGAATGTCTTAATTTTTTAAAATAATTGTTATTCCTATTGACTGGGTACTTTTATCTCTTTAGATGGCTTCTCCTCAACTTGCTTCTTCTGGTATATATAGGGATCCTTTTGGAAATCCTTTTGCCTAATTTCTGTAAGTAGAAGATTCTATTCAGCTCATTGAGTGGGGGGTAGAAGTGATGAGAAAGGGTGGCATGGGATGAGGGTGAATTTTAGAATTAGGAGGAGGTTAAATCTTTGTTAGCATAGAAAGAAGAATATTTCAGAAATAACAGATGTGGAATCTATACTTAGTCAATTTAATAACTACTTGGCTGTATATTTTAGAATAGAATTATTTTAAATATCAAAAACAGTAATAAACACATGATATGGCATCTATCCTAGCTTATATTTTAATATTTTAGTTTTGCATAAAAATAAAACTCTACCTCAGATTTGGGATTATTTTACCTTTTTCCAAGGTTTTTGCAAAGTGTACTAGAATTAATTTGGTCTCCCATAGAACGATCAAAATCTGAAATCATCAGCAGAACAGATGATAAGCACAACTTGTAAGCTCCAAAATACATGTATTTTTGTGTGTGAGGGTCCAGAGTTAGTTTGAAACAGTGCAATGGTATTAAATCTAGGACTGACAGTAGCTGCTAATATTGCTTTCAAAACTAGTAAAAGTAAAGATGAACATATAGACTAACTCTTCTTGCTAGTGGATTCTACCCTAAATAAAGTATCAGGTGATAGCACCTTCTGCCAAGATCTTGAAGAGCTCATGGAACCTTTTTATTCCCAAAAGTGGGTAGTAATATCTTTGGCTGAAAAGGAGTGAGCGGGGGGGAGGGGGGGGAAGAAGACTTCTTTTTATTTTAGAGGACATCTGGCAGACCTGGTAGTATCTGAAACGCAGAAAGAAGAAGAATTTAATCCTTTGTTTTTGTTTTCAACCTTGCATCATTCTGAGTGGAACTGTATCTTGTCCTGTCTTCAAGTTAGTGGTTTCAAATAGAAAAACATCTTAAACAAATACAACAATAAGACTAAATTTATTTGGAATTTAACCCTATCATTATTAATGGTATACCTTATCACCATGGTTTTACAGTTACATTATTGAAAAGGAAAATTTCTGAGAGTCACTCCTGCAGAGCTTCTTTGAAACCAGTTCCTAAATTACTTCTTGTGAGGGGAGATGCTCGGGGCCAAAGACAGGGGTGCTTAGGGCTCTCCTGGATTTGTGCTCAAGAGTCACTCTTGGAGGTGCTGGAGTTCTGTATGCAATGCCAGGGATCAAACAAGGCTTAGTCTCACTCAAGAAAATCACCATAATCTTGGTACAATCTCCCCAGTCCTCCACATAATTTCTAATGATCATAAAACCCTTGAAATAACATATTTAAAGGTTTAGTGATCTTTGTGAGATTCATTCTTCTGGACTCCAGGGAAAGTGGATCAAACTGAAAGGCATAAGCTACAGTAGAACTCCTGGAGGAATTGTGCATTCATTTGAATTTACAGGAGTCCTCTTTGAAGGCCCTTTTTTTCAGTGCACAAAGAAAAAAATAATTTTTTTAACCAGATGAGCCAATCGATGAGGCAGAAGGAGTTAATGTTCTTGAGCACTTGCATCAATCACTGTATAACAGGTTTTGCATTTTTTAAATTCAATTCTCATATAGACCTTGGGGATACTATTACTGACATTAATAGGCATATTTTTAGTGACTTGTTTTGACTGTAGTTATTGATGCTATTGAAGTGCTGGGAACCAACTCTGATGGCGCTGGGTTGTGGCCCCGGGAGTGGGGGACGGGAGAGGGGTAGTCAGAGGGTGCTGGTACTGGCTGTCACACTCAGAATATCACACATGCAAGGCTTCCTGTGTTCTCCCACTTGATATACTCAGCCTATAGCTGCACCCTCAAGGGGAGTAGTTTCAAAGCTACTCCTAGCTGTGTGTCAGTCCTGGTGGTGCAGAGTCATTCCTAATGGCTGTCAGCCTCCTATCCCACCCATGCATTAGTGCCAGGATTGAACCCCCATTCTCCCCGCTGCAAGTCATGTGCTCAGCCTGTGGAGCTATCACATCAGCCTATGTTTTGATAGTTTTTAACACAATGATATTCAATCCAAAAATTCCAACTATGAGTTTTATTTCTTCTCCAGGCACCTGGCATGCTGATTCTCCAGAGGAACACAAAGGTTGGCCTTCATAGTCAAGGACAAAGCTAATAGTCAGAGAAAGTCCTGACCCTTGCCCTTGTTCCAGCTTTGACATATTATCGACTGCCTTATTTTTTTGTGGCCTCTTCCACTTGTACAATGTCTTTCTCTGTTTAGGTTAAATCCAAATTGAACTTATGGCTTTAAATAAATTAAGAACTTGAACTCTCTCATAAATGTAAAATCAAAATAGTTTCCCTATTTGAACCCTGCCTACTGTGTCCTTCGAATCATATCAAGCCTTCTGCCTTGTGCCCTGTGGTTGGAAGATAGAGCCACTGCAGCCGCACAGATCATACTATTTTGAATAAATTTTAAAGTTCTTGCTGTTCAAAGTTGTCTGTTTTAGAGCGTAAATCTCAAGATCGCAGTAGAACAAGGAACTTTATTAAATCTTCAGACGATCACTTACACAGAATTTTTGCAGTAAAATTGAAGCAAGTCCAACTTTGTAGGCAGTTTGGAATGAGATCTAAGATGCTTTTTTAAAGATCATTTTTCTCTCAAAGGCAAAATTGACCCTTTTCCAAATTCTTGCTTGCTATTCAAATAGGCAAAAGCATTATTTGTCTCTCATGCTTTTTTTCTCCAATCTTTTTTCAGTTAGTCTATCTCCAGGCTTCATATAGCAGTTTCCCTCTCTTGCACAAGCAGCAGAGTTCTAAGGAACAAAAGGAAAAAAAAAGGAAAGCCTAATGATTTTTCTGCCTTCTCAGTAATCGCTAACCCAAGTAACTAAGATTGCAAATGGGCACAACCTTTCTATCTTCTATGGAGGAGGAGTCCATCTTCTTGAGCTAAAGTTCCAGCAAAAGCAATGAATGTGGAAGAAAAACTCAACTCAGCAACGAAGACTGTAATCTGCAAACAACACCTCACAAAGCTAAAAAGTGTTTGTGCCAAATATACAAGGTGCTTATTTGGGGTTAGGCTAGACCTTTATTGAGTAACTGGAAAATTTTCTGGGAGCCACAGTCTTATAGTCAGTAGGAAGGAAAATGGGAAAAGAGTAATAATAATAATTATAATAATAATAACAATAAAGCAGCTGAAGAGCAAGTATTTGGTGTTGTCCTAAAAATCCCTAATGCCTGCAATATTTTTCTCCTCATAGCCTTAGAAACCTTCCCGATTTATCTTCAGTCCTATTGTTAGCGCAATTCTGAAGGTCTACTTCTTGCCAAATAAGTTTTGTTTTGTTCATGTTGGGTACTTTAATGTTGTCTCTTGACCCCTAATGCTCAGGTTCTTGTGGGTGTTAATCCACCACATAGCAGCGTCACCTTTAGGTGGAAGAAGAGAACTGCTCAGGATCTAAGTTGGTGGCCTCTCAAACCTTTATGATTAACCCTGAGTAGTCCAAGCTAAAGTCCTGTGGTTTCTGTTTAATGATAATAACTGACCATGTACAGCATAATTTTCCATCTGGCTTCCTACTCAGTCATTATAAAACCAGACTTGAAATAGTATTTTATATGTCCAAATACCTACATGTCTAAACTGGAGGCAACTATTTCTAACTTGTTGAATTTTCGAAAGTAGATACGATTTTGAAAGTAATGATCAGCCACACAACTGTTCTGTACATATTTCTTTTCTTGTGCACTTTTCTGTATGCAAATAAAGCTATAAATTTACTCATTTCAATAAACTGGAATAGCAAAAGTCATGTCTTCACAAATCAGTTTATTCTAATATTTCATCCTGTTTGAGTAGCCTCCAGGAGCTGAAGAGATAAGGCTTACCCAGATGTTCTACAGTGTATCCCAATCTTATTTTTTTCTGGCCTCATCACAATATTTGGTGATAAATGGTCCTCAAAGAGGGTGGGGGGGGCAAACCCTGATTTTAATGCAATGGAGAATTCTGTTGTGGTAGTCAACTACTATTTACCAAGCTGTGAGAGTTTCTTTCTTTCTTTCTTTTTTTCTTTCTTTTTTCTTTCTTCTTTCTCTCTTTATTTTTTTATTGAATCACAGTGAGATACAAATTTGTTCATGATTGGTTTTCTCACCTTCACTGTTATCAATTTCCCCTGCCCCACCCCTTCCTTCCCTCCCCCCGCCCCACCAGACAGGTACTTTTCTTCTCTCTTTCTCTCTCTCTGAGAGGCACTTTCTGAAGGTACATTCTGAAGAGGCCATGTAGAAACAGTCTTCTTCACAATAGCTCCAGTAAGAATGATACTCAAACCTCTGTGCCAAAGATCAGCTTCTGTAGTAACTCAATACCCCTAGAAGAAGTTTTGAGTCTAAAATCAGATCTAAGCTAAAAATTGAACTTTAATGGCTGTTGTGTCTCCGATTTCTCATATAAAGACAATATGTGAAATAAATAGAATATTAATTTTTCTCAAACAATCTTGCACCTGTGAAGTGATTTACCCTTTCCATGATATAACTTCCTATTATTTCCACAACCCTGTGAGGTGAGATCCATTACTGTCTCCCTTCATTTAAGAATGTCATCCACACTTTAAAACAGCTGCAATGTTTCAACCCTAAAGTAACCTGTTTCCAGGGTATTTTATTATAAAATTGTATCTTCAATGGGAAATCTTTTCAATCAGTGATTTCAACTATCTCCATCAAAATGTTAATCAGGGTGTTCAGAGAGAGTCAAACAATATGTTTGTCTGTCTTTCCTGTGCTGAAAGCAGGGAGAGGAAAGAACAGAAAACATAGCTAACTCGGGAAACTGGTTAACCCCACAATAAGCTAATGAGTGTGGACTCTGACCCCTATTCCCGGAATAGTTCATTACAAAATCTTCTAGAGAGAGATAGGAGCCCCTCAAAAGTCCTTAGTAAATATTTAAGCTATTACTGTCAGAGGAGATTTCTAAATAACACAATGCCTAGTTTTTGCTGGGAAATGTTAAGTTTTAACCAACTCCCTTTTATTAAAAATAATTCAGACTCTGGCTGCTAAGTTGACATGCCATACATGGACACATGAATCTATGTGACAGCAGCTGCCCTATTAACATGTCCTAATTACAGCCATGAAGATAGACAAGAGCCAGCCATGTGTCAACCCAGCGAGTGAGAAACAGAGCCCCTCACTCACCCTGGCGTCCCTAAAATTATATACTTAATTAAGAAACCTCTTCCATGTCCTGAAATTGCACAAGTGCCAGTCTCTAGGGAGACAACAGTGTGAGCTACTTGGTGGTAAAGAAATTGGGCTTGGTGGAGGACCAAGAACAAAGTGTTATAAAAAGCAAAGGAAAAGTAACTGAAATTCTTTATGACGAAGTTTTCCTTATGATGTGTGTCATGGTTTTTGCCTATTCCCCTTTTCTGGGTAATTTTATTACTACCACTTTTCTGGGTAATTTTATTACTATCATCATCACTTTATAGTTGTTATTATTATAATTATCATTCTCACTTTAATTTTAAGAAAGGGAAGTGATGATAGCATTGAATGATTTGGCGGAAGCTGAGTTGTAGATGTTTCTGGGCTGTGTCTGAGATTGCTTCTACCGAGTGCCTCCTTCCACTGCTTGATCACCATGGAGCCTTTTGTTGAGGGGATTGAGTGAACATGGCAATACAAGAACTAACAAAGAAGGAGAAAGGAAATGGAAAGCATGGTAGGACACTGGCCTCTCTCACTGACATTAGAAACTGGTGCAGAGTGTGACAACAGATACCATAGGGCTAGAAGGATGTCTCTTTTGATGAAACACGTTGATCACAAGTAGTCTATACCTAACCTATGTGCAATTAGTAATGACTGGATTGGAATAGTGGAAAAGCTATTCAGCATTTTTTTCAATAACTGATATTAGTAGGAGAGACTTTCCTCAGAGAGAAAATGTAGGCTGATGGTTACTGGGGTTGGCTCAGCAACCCAATAAGGTCCTTAAGAACACAAGATTTTTCCTAGCTTTTTACTCCCTGGGTTCAAGACACTTAACTCAAAGTCACTTTGACTTTGAATCTCTGAGGTCCCAGACATCATGAATCCACTTTAATTCTATGATTCTTGGGTAACAACACTGTATGGGCACAAAGTACCTGTTTGCTCTGTGTACACATGCTTCATTCATTCATCAGACTTTGCTTTCAAAATAAAAGTCGAAGGACAAAATTAAGGATTCCAAGATGACCGCTTCTTTTAGGTCAGAAGCTTCTTAATTTAATGTAGTCCATTTTGTTTATCTTTGCTTCCACTTGCTTTGTCAGTGGTATTTCATCTTTGAAAATGTTTCGCTTCAATGCCATGGAGGGTTCTGGCTACGTTTTCCATGTGCCTTATGGGGAATCAGGTCTAATATTGAGGTAACAATGATGCAAAGACAGCCCAGGGGATGGGAAAAATTATTTACCCACTACCCATCTGCTAAAGGGTTAGTATTCAAGATATATAAGGTAGAATTTTATAAGTAAAAAACATCCAACCCTATCAAAAAATGAAGAGATGAACATAAACTTACTCAGAGAAGTAAAAATGACCAAAAGGTACATAAAAATGCTCTATATTAATTATCAGGGATATGCAAATCAAAATAACAATGAGGTATTATCTCACACACATCAAAAATAACAGGAAAAACCAATGCTGGTGCAGATGCTGGAAGAAAGGGCTTCTCATTTGTTGTAGGTGGGAATGTAAACTGGTCCAGCCTTTTTTTAGAAAAAAATATTGGTATTTCTCAAAAAAACTTAGAAATTGAACTTCCATAAAACCCAGCAATATTGCTACTGGAAATATGCCTGGGGGTGCAAAAACACATAGCAGAAATGTCACCCACATTTATATATTTCTTGAGGTACAATTCAGAATAGCCAGAACCTGGAAACAACCTGAGTGCCCCAGAACAGATGGTCGGATAAAGAAACTATGATACAACTATACAGTGGAATGCTACATAGCCACTAGGAAACATGAAGTCATGAAATTCTCTTATAAATGAATAGACATGGAGAGTATCATGCTGAGTTAAACGAGTTAGAAGTAGAGGGACGGACATAGAACGATTGCACTCATTAGCAGCTATAAAAAAGTACATAGAATGAGACTAATACCCAACAGTAGAAACAAGGGCCAGGAGGATTGGTCCATGTTTGGACCAATGTTGCAGGGAGAAGGCAGTGTGGATAGAGAAGGGATCATTACAATAAAGGTAGGTGGAAATGATCACTCTGGATAAGAACTACATACTGAAAGCAGGTAAAGGATCAAACACAGTACCTGTAATGCAAACCATAATGCCAAAAAGGAAAGAGAGAGAGAAAAGTGCCTATAGAGGCATCCTGGGGGGGAGGGGGTATGGGCAGGCTGAAGGAAACTGAGAACATTGGTGGCGGAAAATATACACTAGTGGAACAATGGGTGTTGGAGCATTGTATGACTGAAACCAAGTCATTAAGAGCTTTGTAACTGTGCATTTTACTGTGACTCAATTCAAAAAAGGGGAAAAAAAGAATTTCAAGATGAAAACAGTAGAGCATTGTAAAGTATACATTAGACACTTCTGAGTGCTGAACCCTGTGAGACTATATAGGTCACATGATCATTAAGCCAGCCTGGGCAAAAGAACCTTAGACATGGTGATGGATTAACTAAGTGCCTCTCTTATACCCAGGTGATAGTGTAACTCAAAGTTGGCCCAGCTCCAAATGCAGATCTCAGCAGTCTGACTCAAGAGAACCCACTGGGTGGAAGAGAGGCATATGAGTGCATTCATCAAAGCTACCTTGAGTAGGGGCTGAAGCGATAGTACAGTGGATAGGACAGTTGGGCTTGCACATAGCTGATCTGTGTTCCATCCTCCATATCCCATATTGTCTCCAGAGCACTGCTAGGAGTAATTCCTGATTGCAGAGCCAAGAGTAATCCCTTTACATAGCCAGGTGTGTCCCGAGCTTTTTCTTAAAAACGCCACCTTGACTAGAAGATGAGAGGTAAGGAATGCATAACACTGGGTTCTATATATTTCCAGAAATAATGAAAATTAGAAGAGGACTGGAACCAAAACACCAGTATTTAAAGGTGCTTAAAAATTGGAAGGATATTGGGCTGGGGAGAAGGATCCTGTGAAATTCATAAGCTCTTATTTGCTGAAGTGTTTTTGCAATTCTATCTTATTTCATTGCAAATACAATGCCACCAGATTTAGAAAAAGAATAGTAAACTTAGTCCTAGTCCACAAATGTCTGAATCAGCTTCAGACTATCTCTGAGTATATTATAATAAATTCTATTTTTTGTATCAACTCTATAACATGGATATTTTAAAGAGTGGACACCAAGCCTCCAAGAACTTAAAGAGCTGCCCAAAGTCACAAAGCTAGTAAATGGCCATAGCAAATCTCTAAAGCCTTGCACATCACCTCATGTTTGCCACTTACGCCCCCACTACATCCAGTGACTGGTGCCTTTGTGGTGTCATAGCTTACATTCATTTATTACATTTTATTCTCTTTATTTCTCTCCACTTGCAGTCCTCATAACCAATATGATTACCACAAAAATGGAGAAGTGGGGAAGTTTTTTTTTCTATTTTTAATTAGGCAAGTTAGTTCTCTGTTGCCCTTACTAGAGTTTCTTCAGGATAAATTAGTTATTGCTTCAAAGACTGAGTTTTTTTTTTATAGTTGTCAATGATGCTTATCAATTTAGCCTCATCCCTGGTCCATTCTAACTCAGGTACCTCCCGT